TTCCAGTGAGTTACCAGCTTCAGATAATTGTTCTACGACTCGATCGTTTTGAAAAGATAGCAAGTCTCTATTGATCACAGCCTCTCTTTTCTCCAGAATGTAGTCCTTAAAAGCACTCAGTTGATGTATCGAGTCAATACAACACACAACATAGGTGTAGACGTGCTGGACAAAACTGAAGGGAGAAGAAAACAATCATCAAACAGGACTAAAGAGGCGTACCTGTAGATCACTATTCAGGGCCTCTTGGTGTTTCTGTCAAGAAGAAATTCTATTTCAAGGAACCTTATAGAAGGCAAGAGGGTTGTTTGTTCAACTGGACACTATGGATCAGCTGTATCGTAGGTGATCCTGTGCTGTTGACCTCTAGCATCAGTTTTATCCATTGGTTTGCACTCGTAGTATATGTTTTTCTTTTCCTCTGCGTATGATATTCTACAAGTCATATACATCCATATAGATAGATGAATGCTTTATGTCAGCATACACAGTAAGCTGGGGGACTATATATGAAGACAACAACTACGACTTCACAGCACTGGCATTGGTTAATCTTTAAATACTCAAGCATTATTATTCATAGACTAAAGAGAAAAGGAAAATAATAATAACCCCCCAAATAAGATACACAACTTTGTTTTCCCCAATATATATATTTTTTTTGTATAATAATGGCATGACATAAGCCTGTTTAAATCCATATCACTTGGAGGCAAGGTGAAAATAATATTCAAACATCTATCAAATGGGGAAATTTCCCTTAATTTTCAAACATTACCATGCATTACATTTTTATCATTTTTTTAAGTTCACTTGCTTGCTCTTTTTAGTTAACTCTAGAGTAAATAAATGTTGTGTTAAGATAGTGTTGTCTTCACATAGACTCAAAGAATGCATTTTTTGTCATTTCATATCATGGGACACATCCACCATATTGCATGTTGACATGTGTAGAAGGATGCCGCGGCGTCGTGGGGGCTTTCGGGGGGACGGGGCGTAAGGGTGGGTTCAGCTCCTACACGACAGCCTTTGAATCCTTGCAGTCCTGAGCAGTGGTGCCTGAGTTAGTCGGTTTGCTGTCCGTCCGCTTGGCCAGACGTTTCGCTTGTCTGCCAGACAAACAGGTTCAAATGAAGATTAATTATGATCCACCACTGCATTAAAAAAAATTAAGTAATAATAATATAATAACATATATATAATAATATTATACAAACTATATATATATATA